AGCCAAGATACCCTTCAACAGACAAATGGAAAAAGAATATTCCATTTATACAATGGAATATTACTCAGCCATCAGAAAGGATGAATGCCCAACTTTTGCATCAACATGGATGGGACTGGAAGGTATCATGCTAAGTGAAATAAGTCAAGCAGAGAAATTATCATATTGTTTCACTTACATGTGGAATATTAGGAATAGCATGGAGGACACTAGGAGAAGGAAGGGCAAAATGAAGGGAGGAGTCAGAGTAGGAGGTGAACCATGAAAGACTGTGGACTCCGAGAAACAAACTGAGGGTTTTAGAAGGAGGGGGGATGGGGGAGCCTGGTGGTGGGTATTAAGGAGGGCACATATTGCATGGAACACTGGGTGTGGTATATAAACAATGAATCTTAGAACACTACATCAAAAACTAATGATGTATGGTATGGTAACTAACATAACACAATAAAAATAATAAAAAAAAAGTGGGTATAGAGGGAATGTACCTCAACAAAATAATTCCCATGACAAGCCCATAGGAAACATACTCAAAGGTGTAAAGCTGAATGCCTTTCCTCCAAGACCAGAAATAAGACTAGGATGCCCACTTTTGCCACTTTTATTCAATATAGTATTGGCAGTCCTAGTCAGAGCAATTATTCAAGAGAAAGAAATAAAAGACATCCAAATTAGAAAGTAAGAAGTAAAACTGTCACTATATGTGCAGATGACATTTTATATAGAAAACCACAAAGGACCCCAAAACCTGTTAGAACTAATAAACCAATCAGTGAAATTGTAGGATATACAATCAATACAAAAAGTCTATTGTATTTCCAGACTAATAACAAACTGTCAGAAAAATTTTTTTAAAATTCCATTTGTAATTGTATCAAAAAGAAAAAAAAATCTAGGAATAAATTTACCCAAGGAGGTAAAAGACCTATAAACTGAAAACTAGGACATCAGTGAAAGAAATTGAAGATGCAAGAAGACATTTTATGTTCATAGATCAGATGAATCACTATTAAAACATTCATACTGTTCAAAGTAATCTACACATTAAATGCAATCCCTGTCAAAATTCCAATGACATTTCTCACAGAAATAGAAAAATCTTAAATCTTAAAATTTGCATGTAATCACAAAAGACCACCAATAACCAAAGCAATCTGGAGAGAGAACACAAAAGCTGGAAGCGTCATGCTCCCTGCTTACAAACTATTAAAAACTTATAGTAATCCAGACAGTATGGTTTGACATAAAACCAGACACATAGGTCAATGGAACAGGACAGAGAGCTCAGAATTAGACCCATGCATCTATGGTTAATTAATTTATGACAAAGGAGCCATGAATATACAAGAGGGAAAGGACAGTCTCTTCAATAAATGGTGCTGGAAAAACTGGGAAAGCCAGATACAAAGAAATGAAATTGAACTACTCTTACATCATAAAGAAAATTGCACTCAAAATGGGTTAAACTTGAACATGATTTTTGAAATCACAGAAATCCAAGAACACATAGGCAGTAAGCTCTTTGACATCATTCTTGGCAATTTTATGTTGAATCTGACATGAAAAGCAAAGGCAACATGAGGAAAGTAAACAAGTGGGACTACAACAGCAAAGGAAGCCATCTGCAAAATGAAAAGGCAACCTACTGAATGGGAGAAGATATTTGCAAATCATCTAAGGGGCTACTATTCAAAATACATTGGGCACTTTTACAACTCAATAACAGAAAACCAAAAAATGCAATTTTAAAAAGGCAGAGGATCTGAATAGACATGTTCCCTAAGAAGACATACAGATGGTCAACAGGTCATGAACACGTGCTCAACATTACCGAGCATCCGTGAAATATAAATCAAAACCACAATGAGATATCACCTCATACCTGTTAAAATAGCCAGTACCAAAAAGACAAGAAGTATGTGTTGATGAGGATGTGGAGAAAAGGGAACCATTGTGCACTGTTGGTGAGAATGTAAATTGGTGCAGCCATTATAAGAAACAGTATGTAGGTTCCTCAAAAATTTAAAGTAGAACTACCACATCAACCAGAAATTCTATTTCTGGGTATCTATCCAAAAAAAAAAAAAAAAAAAATAAAGAAAAGAAAACACGAACTTGAAAGGATACATGACCCCCATGTTCATTGCAGCATTATTTACAACAGTCAAGATATAGAACAACTTAAGTATCCATCAGTGGATGAATGGATAAAGGAAATATGGCACGTGCACATGCACACACACACACATACACACACAGAATATTATTCAGCCATAAAAATTATATCTTGCTATTAGTGATGGCACGTATAGACCTTGAGGACATGAAAGTCAAGAAAGACCGACAAAGACAAATACTGTGTGGTTTCATATGTGGAATTTAAACAACCCTTCCCCCCAAACCATAATAAATGCAGAGAATACTGTTGGTTGCCAGAGTTGGGGGTGGGGGTAAGTGAAATATGTGGAGGGGCTGAAACGGTACAAACCTCCAGTTATAAAATAAACATGTCCTGGAGATGGAAGGTACGTCATGGTGACTATAGTTAATATTCTTCTATTGTATATTTTAAAGTTGCTAGGAGTCGATCTTAAAATTTCATCACAAGAAAAATTTTTTTCCTGAGTAGTTATGGTAACAGATGTTAGACTTATTGTGATCATTTTGCAATGTATATAGATATCCAATCATAGGTTATATACCTGAAATTAACCTAATGGGTACATATCAATTATACCATGATAAAAAAATTCATTATCCAAGGCTCTGCTCCAGACCTGCCATATCAGAATTTGCATTTCTGACAAGATCCACAAGTGAGTCACATTAAAGCTTGAGACATACTTGTCTAGAAGGATTTAGAAGAAAGAGGATGAGAGTGTTGTTTGAAGGGAAGGAAGGGGGAAGGACTTTTTTTCTCTTTTGGAGGAAAGGAATCACTGAGAATGATCAACATAGACAATGTATGTCCCCTTTAGCGACCTCAGTGATCTCCTGTGTGAAGCCAGGTCTGTTCCTAATTGTAATTTTACAAACTGCCAGTAAGCCTTGAGGGCCTAGAAGCTGAGCTGCCTTGGGTGGAATGAAAGCTAGCAGAAGTGGGCTTTTCCAGGTAAGAGAAAGATGATATCCCCCAGGCATCAGAGCAAAAGGGAGCTCATGCCTCTTTGATTATGAAGCACATACATTAGGTCACTGGAAATGGGGGGGGGGGTGTTGGTAAAGGTGCCAAAAAGGAGCCTCATGGCCGAGTGTGTTGGCTGGCCAGCGTTGAGCATTATCCCGGACTCACCTGGGACACAAATGGCCTATGGACTGCAAGTGAATTCTGTGGCCAGATTTCCTCCAAATAACATTTGATCTTCACTAGAGATGGCCACAATGTATTAACTTAATGGGAAGTTCCAAGTGCTTGTTTTCCAAAGAGCGCACCTCAGGGTGGGTACGGAGAAACATGAACACTGTAATGTATAGATAGCCAGTTCCAACACGTTTTGAGTTGCTAGCTGCCCCAAACATTCAGTCACATTAGTTCGTACACTTATGCAGGGAATTAAGAGTGCTGTGTAATTTCGGGCCATCCCGGGAGGCCAGGCTTAATGGCTTGTTTCAGCTACCACCCAGTGAGAAACTATGCCTGGCCAGTCAGAGTAAGTTCAGCCTACGAATTAGTCCCAGGCTCTGACGGACAACAGCTGTCACCACACAGCTGGAGGGGAGGGTACTATCTGATTAGCAGGGCAGGCCGCTCTCAGACGCTAAGTAGGTCCCCCGTAGGTTCTGAACACAGACTTTGAAAGGAACGGAGTGTACGCCATCCTGTCACTTCTGCCAAGCACCACACTGGATTGCTTTTTTTTCTTTTTTAAGTCCCAACAACATTTTAAAACAGATGAGTATGAAAGATGAGTATGAAAACTCCTCTTTGTCTAAATAGAGATGCAAGATCCCTGCAGTGGGGAAAGCTTAGGCCTCTGATTACAACACGAATTCCTGATGGGTGCTCAGTCCTACCCGGCCCCGAAATGATGTGAGAACAATGGTAAGGGGACTCTTGGCGCTCCCATCCCTCTGAGGCTGCTTCTGTCATGGCATAGTGTTTCTCCTGGCTCAGGTTTGTTCTTCTCCATAGAAAATCTTCAGTTTGTGGTAATTTTTTAAAGTCTTAACTAATCATGAAATTTCCTTTCCAAATGGACAGAGTCCTGTGGTTCCTTCCTCTATCCAGAAGCGGCCCCATCCAACCTGGGGTCCTAGGAGCCCCCATTTCTGCTGTGTGTTAAGCTAACCTGGGACTTTCTTGGCTGTCCTCTGGCTGAGAATTGAGAAGGGAGTTGGTGGTTTCAAAGTGATCCACTAGGCTTCAACCCTTCTTGGCTCGGAAGAGTGGTTCTCTACACCGGCTGCACACCAGAATAACCCTGTGTGGTTTCTAGAACTTGCCCATGCTCCTCTCCCACCCGTGAGCGACTGACTTAGAATCTCAGGGGGATGCAGCCTGCACACTGGTCTTTTAAAGGAGTTTCTCCAGTGATTCTAACCGTGTCACCCAGGTGGGAAACCCTGGCTCAGAACAACTCTGCACCACCCCTCTACCCCCCCACCAGACAGATCCCATCAGAGCTTTAAATCATCAGCCAGGGATGATTTAGGATTTAGGATGATTTAGGATCTAGGACAACCAGTGAGAAGAGGTGGCCTTGCAGAAACTGAGTCTAAAGAAGGGGTTGCTGAGGATTTGCTGCTGATCTGAGAAAGGGATGAGCTCGGGGGTAGGGAAATCAATAGCGAAAGTGTAATGGCTGTGGGAGGTATACTTGTGTTAGAGAAGAATGATCCGACACTCTAAGCTTTTGGATGGACACTGGGCAGGTAAATTAATTGACAGATGGGATGTGAAGGGTCTGACATCACAGAGGATGGGGCAGTGGTGGCCTTTTACTTCCTACCGTGGCTGGGTCCGCACCTTTAGATTTATCTTGCAAATAAAATCCTCTTACCTGGCCCCAGTTGGAGAAGGCCCACTCCACGCAGAGCTGCTGGTTGCAGGCCTGGGTGTCTACTGGCCGTTTGGCGAGCTGTGTGCACAGATCATTGGACACAGGGGTGGAGATCCCAGAGGCTTTCAGCTTCTGGCAGGTCACCCGGCGGGTCTGGACGCCTCCCCCACAGCTCCGGGTACAGGCTGACCAGGAGGTCACCATCCACCTGGGGAGAAGAAGAGCAAAGGGTCAGGCTTGGGCAGAGGAATGATGCCATATTGTCTCAGAAACGGAGCCTGTACATCTCCTTATTCTCACCACACAGCTACTAATCTTGGGGCATGGCCCTTTTCATGGTGTACATGGAGTGGAAGGCTGAAAATGGTCCCCCAAAAGATCTGATGTAGACATCAGATCCCCAGAAGCTGGGACTGATACCATATTCAGACAAATGGACTTTGCAGACTTAATTAAAGACTTTGAGATGCGATTATCCTACATTCTCTGCCTTCACAAATGTCCTTAGAAGAGGAAGAGAGATTAGAGGAGGAGACAGTGTGACCACAGAGGCAGAGGCTGGTACGACGTGGCCATAAGCCGAGGGATGCCTGGGGCCACTGGAAGTCAGCAAGGCTTGAGAAAGTTCCAGGGGTTGCAGCCCAGCCGTCGCCTTGATTTTGGACTTCTGGCCTTCCAAACTGTGAGCAAATAAATGTCTGTTCTTTGTAGCCACCACATTTGTAGTAATTTGCAGCCATAGAAAACAAATACCCTTTGGAAAATGACTGCAAAGCTGCATCTTGAAAGAGTGGTCTGAACATCACTTGTCTCCCCGGCCCCCAAATCCACAAGCCTGCAGAGGGAACGCTCTGGGAAGACAGTCCTTTAGCTTAGTTACGCCGCACTGTGGTTCTGGGACTTCCTGAGGCCAGCCAGGTGCGTGGAGGAAGGGGGACGGTCTCCTAGGGAAGTCAGATCCATACTGTGTCTCTGGCTCTCCCCTGAGTCAGTGTTTCTTCTGCTAGTACTCACTCTCTTTTCTACCTTGCCTTAACCCACGTCTCACTGGATTTTGTTGAATCCCTGGGAAACAAGCTAAGTTCCTTCTGGCTTTGTGCAACAGTTTCCCACCTCCACACAAGTCATGGGGCATAGGCCCTACACCTGCTCGCGGGCTGCCTATGGGGAGACTGTCGTTTCTCAGGATGTTAGGTTCCGGCTACAATCTGGGCCGTCAGAAGTGAGATGGGCCAGGACTGCGCAAACAGCTTTTCTCACAAGGCCCAGCTAGAATTTGGGAAACACACTGAAATCCTCGGTCCAGATACAACCCCGTAGGGGCTCTCTGTGCATGTTCGCACCTAGGGCTAGTTTTCAAAGAGAAGGGGAAAAGGGGACAGTGTGGGGAAAACAGAAAAGCCTTGGTACGTTCCAGCCACCTTAGTCAGTCTAGGGAAAAAGAGCATTCTTGGGTTTTAATGCCCGAGACAGAATTTATCTAAATGAAGTGGTAGAACAGGGTCCAAGCTGGACTTCCCGGCCCTATTCACAGACAACCAGGGCGACCCTTGTTTGTGTTCAGAGAAGGCTGCTGAGGTGCCTGAGAAGCGTGGCCGGGAAACCAGTCAAAGGTGGACCTGTGGCCACTTTCTGGTCCCGTGGCGCCACATGTGGCTCCCAGGAGAGGCAAGTAGCATTGACAGGGAGCCAATTCCTTTTGAATCTGGAGCTGTGACTTATTTAGTTTGGTGGAGCCTCCCTGCTCCATCGGCGCTGGAGAGAGAGGACTGTGTGCAGGTCTCCAGTGTGCAGGAGCAGAGCCACTTTGGAAGCCGGCACGAGGTGTTGCAAGGCTCCTGGGGGCACTGAAACCCAAGCTGACACGGCCATTGTTTCATCTGCAGGAGTAAATGAGGCTGATTGACTCTGACCATCACCACAGCAAATCAAAAGGCCCTCGGCAGGTCCAAGACTTCGTCTTCATTTCAAATAGCTTGGCGAGGGCAGTCCTCCAGCCCCTCATATCCCCGGTGAATGTCAGGCCTGCATTTCAATCAACCTTTATTTCCAAATATACATTTCAGCAATTTTTCAGGAGTTGGGTTCGGGGGCGGGGAGGTTTGAGAAAGGAGAGGTATGGCCATGTTACAGTTCAGGAAGGGTATAAAAGGACATTAATCATTCCCATGGAAACCTTCCCGTCAGCAAGTCAAACTGCTGATATTAATGAGCGTGTTTCATATTTCATTGAGTCTCTCCTGGTTTCAGCTGCTCCTTATGACTCAGCTGGCAAAACACAAAGCGGGTGTCTGAGTCGTGTAAGAAAGTCCCCCAGACAGGTAGGAAGGGGGCATCGCGAGGCCCAGCCAAGTCCCCCCAGGCTCGGGATGCCATGCTGGTGCCATCTCTAAGCCCATCCAGTACCCCTTCAGCGACGGCCAGCAAACTGGGTGTAGGAGGCTCTGTGGGACTCACAGCTTCTCAGAGCTGGAAGAGGCAGAGACAGAGGTGGTCACTCTGGGACCAGAGGCCAGAAGCTCTATCCAACATGGAGGCAACTACAGAAAATGAAGATGTGTTTTGCCTTAATGCAGGATGCAACCCTTTGAAGAAGAGGCTAACTTTTCCTCACCTAGAGTACTGAGTAGCACTGTTTCTGAAGTTTGAAGAAAGGGGAGAGTCTGGGATCAAGGCCAGTAACCCCTCTGCCCTCAGCACCTCAGCTGCAAACACAGTTGTCCTCTTATAGACTAGAGAGCAAATTTCTTTTTCTTCTTTTCTCTTCTCTTCTCTTTTCTCTTTTCTTCCTTCTTCTTCATTCCCCTTCCTTCCATCCATCCATTCATCCTTCCTTCCTTCCTTCCTTCCTTCCTCTCTCTCTTTCAGATTTACTTATTTGACAGAGAAAGCACAAGCAGGGAGAGCAGCAGGCAGAGCGAAAAGCAGGCTTCCCAGTGGGGAGCCTGATGCAGGGTTCGATCCCGGGACCCCAGGATTACAACCCAAGCCGAAGGCAGAGGCCCAGTGACTGAGCGATGCAGGTGCCCCAAGAGAGCAAATTTCTTATTGCAGGATGTGAGCGAGCTCTGGCTAGGGCCTGGGATGCTCCTGCTCCCTGAACAGACCCTCTCAGGCACTTGGGGTGCCCCGGGCAGTCCTTAGCCCACCGAGTGGTGAGAGAACCAACTGCCGAGGGAGGAGGCCCGACCTGAGGGATATTTTCCACAGGGTGGGGAGGCCTGGCAAGTCGGGATCTGTAGAGAAGCACAGGGCCTTGGGGGGCAGGCATCCTTGCTGACACTCCGTGTCTCTCCCTCCACAGTGCCGGACAAAGGCTAGCCACCGACTTGGCTAACAGGGCCCAGCCTTGGGTTTGGGGAGGCCTGAGCCGGCATGCGGCACACTCACCGAGAAGGGCAGTCTCTCCGGTTGCAGGCGATGGGCTGCACAGCGGGGCGCACTTTCCCCGCACAGTGAGTAGGGCTGACCTCTGTGCTGTTCAGGAGACACCTCAAGCGGGGCTGCTGAACGCCCCTGTTACCACAGGAGGCCGAGCAGGTTGCCAGTCTGTCCACAGACCACCAGTAATCTGTCACAGGAGGAGGATCACAGGTGAGAAGAGGACTGCGCATTGCCCGTGCTCTGTGGGCACGAGGAGCTCTCACGAATGACCCTCTGCCCTTCAGTGGGCGCCCTTCCCCACTTAGGTAGCCAAGTGGCCTGGTGTCCAGGAGCATCAGTGACTTATCCATGAAATGAGTCCCAAACCCCTACCTCGCGAAGTTACTGTGAGGACTGGATGTCATGAAAGCAAAGGGGCTGAGCCTGGTGCCTGGCGCAGAGAGTACTTAACCAGTGGCTGGAGTCCTTAGTTTTAAGTAAGATTCCTAAGTACTTTTTCCTCCTAGTGGGTCACCAGAAAGTGACTTTCTTTTTCAACAAAGAGATGCAGAAATATCAGAGATACTTTGCAATCGTATTTGTACGTGCACCTTTGAGTTGAACTTGGGAAAAAAAACTTCACCAAAAAACCCCCACAAAAAACCCAGCCTACCCAGAGAGTACTCATTTCCATGAGACGATGACATCAGGAAGAAATTCAGTTTCTGTGGATTTTCTATTTGGGGATCTGGGACTCACTGGTAGGAAAGCTGTTAAAAATAACTGGGGGCTGGTAAACCGTGAGTGCTTATTTGCAAGGTCGTATATTACAAATCTTGCAGATAGGCACTGGCTTCTAGTTTTCAGCTGAGAATGGCTGGTTGGCAAGAAAAGGGAACATTTACTTTCCTGTCCGGAAAGCCAAATGGCAGGGGAGGATGTTTAAGGGGAAAACCCATTTGCTCAGCAAAATCTCCCTCCTCCTGTGCTACACTGGCACAAAATTCTGTCCCCTGCAGAATCTCCCATTTTCGAATGCATGCAATAGAATTTTGCTTTCCCTCAAAATAGTCCCCCACAGGCCACAGGTAGAAATAGCCTCTGGAAAACCTGAAAGCCTCACTTGGTTTCCATAACCAGACCCAATTTGGGTTTGTTCCCCACTGTTTCAGGCTCATTCAAACCTTTTCTTGGTGTAGCTAAAGCCAGGCCTCCCTCAAGGGCTTTCTGAACAGCCTGTGTTCCTGGAAGATTAATGCAGGAGCCGCAGAAAAGGTGCCTGTAGAACACTTAGCACATGACTGCAGCACAAGACCCATGAGCACGATAAGCGGGTCCTGGCACCAGCTTGACTCTCCAGGAGAGGAGGCAATAACCAAGTAGTTCAGATCCAGAGGTTTTTTTTTTTTTTTTCTAACCAAACTAACGGAGAAAACTTGCATTAGTTTAATAAGCTGCTTTGCACGCATGTGTGCGTGTGCTTGCATGCATATAAGGGTGTGTATGTGTGACTCTAACTAGTTAAACAAGCATAAACGAAACTTCTTGGCTTTGCTATAGCACGGTGCTTCCCTGGTCCTCAGTGGCAGCAACAAGAAGCAGCAGAAGCACCCATTTGCAAGAGCAGCACAGACTTTTCCAGATTCTGCTGGCACAGAGCCTGTGGCTCTTCTGAAGGACCTCAATGTACAGAGTCCTGGTTGGGCTTGATTTGCATGCTCTAGGAGCCACTGAGATCAGACATCACTTAGTTTTACTAGAGAATTCGATTCTCAGGTGGACTTTCTTCTTCAAGAACTAAGCCTGGGATTCACAGACCTGTACCCCTGGGGATAAAAATATATTATATGTTTATAAAAAATAAAATTAAAAAAAAAAAAAAGAACTAAGCCTGGCTCCAAAGCCCGCAGGGTTTCTTACCTTGGATCACTAAAGAGGCCTTCTGCACGAGCACTCCTGCCTCGTTCTGAGCAATGCAGCTGAACTCCCCTTGAGACCCGCCGCTAAGATTTGCCACCTGTAGAATCTGTCCAGCTGCCAAGATGTGATGTGTCAGTCCTGGGACAGTCGCGACTGGCTGACCACCATGGAACCACGTGATGTTGGGGGTAGGGTGACCTTTGATGGGACAGCCTAGAAGGAGAGGAGGAGGGAGAGGAGCCATTAATAAAGAGAAATGGGGTATACACCTGATGTGTAGATGCATACGTACTGTGGGGTCTCCTCACCAATGGCATTTTTCTTATGCTTGCTCTTTCCAACCCAATAGATGTTTCTACTCAGGAATTTCAGGAAGATGACTATTATTCATTCAATGAAGGAAAAATTCTTAGAGTACCCAAAGTGCCTATTTCTTTGTCCTTGTACGAACTTTTAAAAAAATGAAGCAATTAATATCCACTCATTGAATATTTTCCAAGTTAATTAGTTTCTATACTGATTTTTGTACTCACGGAAATCACATCTTCAAATGCAGTGAGTTGGGAAAAAAATGCTACACAGTAATAGTGAAAAATCAAACTCTAATTGGTGAAAGTCTAATAGGTGCCACTATTTTACTGTGTGTATGATTTTCTAGTCAAAATTTTTAACAGAATCTAGGAAAACAAGTGTAAATGCTGACTTCATTTTTCAGCCAGTCAGGAAACTTGGCCTTCTAACTGCTTTTACCAAGCCTGCACTGGACATGCACTTATCAATGTAGTCACTGAACATACTTTGATACATTAAAATCCTAAAATATTAAACTTAGATATTGTTTCTCCCCAAGCTTTTGTAGCAGAGAATTATTAAAGTAAACTGACTGCAAAATTGTGAGAAAAAACTAATTTTCTCTAAACTCAGAGAACTTGCTGAATTTGCTGTTGTGTCTTCAACAATTTAGCTTCCACAGAAAATTTATTTGGAAGTTTACTTTTTATTTTTTTTTTAATTTAAATTTTAGGTAGATAACATACAGTGCAATATTGGTTTCAGTAGCAGAATTCAGTCATTCATCACTTACTCAGTGCTCATGATAACCAGTTCCCTCCCTGACACGCACCACCCATCATCCATCTAGCCCATCCCCAACCCACCTCCCTCCATCAGTCCTCAGCTTGTTCTCTATCATTAAGAGTGTCTTATGGCTTGTTTCCCTCTCTCATTTTTTTCTTTTTCCCCTTCTCCTATGTTCATCTCTTTTCTTTATGAAATTCCACATGAGTGAGATCATATAGTATCTGTCTTTCTCTGACTTATTTCACTTAGCATAACACACTCTAGAGCATTCATGTCATTGCAAATGGCAAGATTTCATTCTTTTTCATGGCTGAGTAATATTCCATTACTCTTCTTGACCCATTCACCATTAGATGGACATTTGGGCTCTCTCCATCATTTGGCTGTTGTTGATAATGCTGCTATAAACATTGGGATGCATGTATCCCTTCAAATCTGTATTTTTGTATACTTTGAGTAAATACCTAGTAAGTAGAGCACTTGCTGGATCATAGGGTAGTTTTATTTTTAACATTTTGAGGAGGCTCCATACTGTTCTCTACAGTGGCTGCACCAGTTTGCATTTCCACCAACAGCACAAGAGGGTTCCCCTTTCGCTGCATCCTTGCCAACACCTGTTGTTTCTTGTGTTGTTAATTTTAACCATTCAGACAGGTGTAAGATGATATCTCATAGTGGTTTTGATTTGTATTTCCTTGATGATGAGTGATGTTGTATCTGGTAGCTGTGTGGATGTCTTTTTGGGAAAAGTGTCTTTTCATGTCTTCTGCCCATTTCTTAACCGGGTTATTCATTTTTTGGGTGCTGAGTTTGATAAGTTCTTTGTAGATTATGGATACTAAAGCTTTATCAGATATGTTGTTTGCAAATATTTTCTCCCATTCTGTAGGCTGCCTTTTAGTTTTGTTGTTTATTTCCTTTGCTATACAAAGAACGGCTACTTGCATGGATGTGTACACCTATGGATCCAGAAGAGAAGAAATTTTTCAATGTTGGCTTGTTTCCTATTCTGGAGGAAACACTGTTAGAATTTGTATAGGATGCAGGGTTTACACAGGAAAGGTCCTTAGAGATTGTCTAGTCTAACGCCAGAGGAGGAAGCTGAGGCCAAGAGATGTTAAGGCACTTCCCCAAGATCAAGTGACTGACCTGATTCCTTGCCTTGTGTTCTTTCCTCCATACCTGCTACTTGCCCAGCTGGGTACCAGAAATTTACCTAGGCACCTAGTTAGCTCCTTCTTTTTTTTTCCTGCTCATTCCTTTTGTTTATCCCTTCCCCTCCAACCCCCTCTTTTTTTTTTTTTAAACATTTTCACAGTAGTTGTTTGGTTGAAGTACTTGGAGCAGACTATTTTGAAGAAGGGTCCTGGAAAAATAATGCTAAAATTGACTGTAAGAAGTTCAGTATGGGATATCATTGTTAAAGATCCTGTTTTCATTCCTCCCTGCATTTACTCCCTTTGCCATGTAACTTTGCAGTAGCCTTCAATGAGGGGAGGGCTATAATTTCCTACCTCCTGATTTTGGGTTTGGTCATGTAATACTTTGGCCAGTAAAATGAGTCAGATCGTATACTAATAATCTGAAAGAGAAATTAAGAAAATAATTCCATTTATAATAGTATCAAAAAGAATAAAACACTTAAGAATAAATTTAACCAAGGAGATGAAAAACATGTATACTGAAAACTACAAAATGTTGCTAAAAAAAAAATTAAAACATAAATGGGAAGCTGTGTCATGTTCATGGATTAGAAAACTTAATATTGTGAAGATGTAAATACCTGCAAGGGAACTATAGATTCAGTACAATCCCTATTAAAATCTCAATAACTTTTTCTTCTTTTATTTCTTGTAGAGATAGAAGAATCCGTCCTGAAGTTTATATGGAATCTCAAGGGATACTGAGTAGTCAAAACAATCTTGAAAAAGAACAAACTCAGGGGTTTCACATGTCCTGATTTCAAAACTTAGTACAAATTCTGTAGTAATTGAAACATTATAGCACTGGTATAAAGACAGACATATAGACCAATGAAATAAAATAGAGAGCCCCCAAATAAACTCTGGCTTATATGGTCAAATGATTTCCAACATGGAAGCCAGGACCATTTAATGGTGCTGGGAAACCAAGATAGCTACGTGCAAGAAAATGAAATTATAGCCTTACCTTACACCATATACAAAAATCAACTCAAAGGGATCAAAAACTTAAACTTTAGAGTTAAATGTATAGAACTCTTAAAAGGAAACATAAGCAGAAACTTCATAATACTGGATTTGGCAATGATTTCTTGGATATGATCCTAAAAGCACAGGGCAACAAAAAATAAACTGGACATCATCTAAATTGAGAGCTTTTGTGCATCAAAGGACACTGTTACCAGAGTGAAAAGGCAACACACAGAATGGGAGAAAATATTTGCAATTCACAGATTTGATAGTGGATTAATGTCCATAATACATAAAGAATTCATACAACTGAACAACAAATATAAACAGCCAAACTAAAAAAATGGGTGAAAGACTTGAATAGACATTTCTCTAAAGATATAAAAATGGACAACAAGCACATGAACAGATGTTCAACATCACTAATTGTTACAGAAATGAAATCAAAACTACAATGAGATACATATCAGACCCAGTAGGATGGTTACTTAAAAAACAAACAAATAAGATAACCAGTGTTGATGAAGATGTGAGAAAACTAGAATCCTTGTGCTTTGCTGGTGGGAATTTAAAATGATGCAGCCACTGTGGGAAACAGTATGGAGGTTCCTCAAAAAATTAAATGTAGCATTACCATCATGATCCACTAATCCCACTTTGGTGTATATACCCGAAGGAATCGAAAGTAGGGATTTGAATAGCTATTTGTGCACTGATGTTCATAGTAGCAGTATTCACAGTAGCCAAAAGGTGAAAACAACCTGAATGTCCATCAGTAGATAGGTAGATAAACAAATATATGAGATATATATATATATGATGGAATATTATTCAGCCTTAAAAAGGAATGAAATTCTGTTATGTGTGACAAGCTGGATGAACCCTGAACACATTTAGTGAAAGAAGCCAGAGGCAAAAGCACAAATCTTACAGGAGGCACCTGGTCTGGTCAAGTTCATAGAAACAGAAATCAGAATATGGATTATCAGGGGCTGGAGGAAGGGGAAGGGGGGAGTATGGGAAATTACTATTTTTTAAATGGGTACAGAGTTTCAGTTTGAGATAAAAAGTTCTGGAGATGGAAAGTATGAGTGCTGCACAACGATGTGAAGGCAATTGATGCCACTGAACACTTACAAATGTTTAAAATAGTACATTTTATGTTATGAGTATTTTACCACCATAAAAGAAATGAGACAGATGTGCCGGGATACCAGTTCCAAACCTAAATCTCAAGAGACTGTGTTTTCACTTGTGCTCATGTGCCTTTGCTATCACCAGAAGGACACACTTGGACTGGCCTAATGGTCCCAAACGAGGGTGAAAGAATGGTGGAGAACAGCCAAGTTCATCCCAGCCAAACTCCGTTTAGATCAGCTGAACTTAAGATCAGCAAGAATAAATAATTACTATTTTAAGCCACTGAATCTTACTATTATTTTATGTAATGTGGTGATAGCTAACTGATACACTTAGGGAGAAGGGATTTCCACAATTCCCCTAGGCCTATGGATTCAAGGCTTGGGGTAGGGCAGAGTTTCCACCTGTGTACTGATTGCCCACATCTTCTTACTCAGGTACATAGGAGGAGCAGTTTCCCTGCCTGCTCCTGGTAGCATCTGGGCCTCTGTATGTTATGCAGTCCATCGTGATATCATTATACTCTTGTTCTGAAATGGGGGTAAGAATGGCCTTAGGGAGAAGTGTGCAGAAATCAGTGAGCTGAGGATCTCCTGAGAGCAGCAGAGTCTAACCCCCTCCAGGACCAAAGGTAGTCTGGAGTCAGATGCTGATTTCATTTTCTAAGAAGAGACAGGAAAACTGTACATTTATTTAGGCAAATAGCATGATTTAAAAAAAAATATGGCTTGTAACCAGTATAGCTTTTCAGACTTCCTTAAACAAGCCAATATATGTCTCAATCATATCTGTTTTTTAAAAAAAAAAAAAGGTGTCATAGAC